GGCTGGTGAGTTTGTGCTGGCCAGCCACACCGACAGCCGGTGGCCACGGCACCCATGAGCGCTGGGCAGGGGTGGGGAGTTGTCTGCGCCGGGAGGGGGTGGCAGCTGCTGGAAAAGCGCAGTTGTGACAGGGCAAATGCATCCAGAGAGGAGAATGGCTCAGCCCAGGGGGTTTCGAGGGGGGCAGTTTCAGCCCCAACTAGAGAGTGAGAGATGAGCTGTGAGAGGAGCTCCAGAGGGATCCTGGTGTCCCCTGAGCCCAGTCTGGGGCTGGGCTGAGCGAGGCCACGCGACACAAGAAGAGGGAGCAGCCTGCTCAGGAACAGTCGGCTGGAAGAGCTAAAAGACACTGCTGGTTTACAGCGGATCTTCACGAAAGGTTCCATTTCTATCTGGTCTGTTTGCTGATTTGGCAGGGAAAGTCAGGGTGCTTTTTGGCCTGTGCAGCATCACGGTAACTCAGCTCGGACTGGCAGAAACCAGCGGCAGCAGTAAAGCGCCGTGGATGTCCAGCACATCCGTGGATGTTCCTGTGGGTGATTGGCTGTCACCCTGCAGCATCTACCAGCGGGTTCCCAGATGCTGGAAGATACTTTTGTAATACAAAAGTTGTGGTAAGGTGCTTTTGGAGCATGGAGGACCTTAGCTATGTGTCTCATGTACGTAGTTATTTTCAGTAAAGCTGGCTTATTTTTTAAACTTCCTCAGTGTCTCATGTTGTCTTTCAGAAAACGTCAGGCTTACTAACAAAATTGCTTTCTTGCCTTCTTTTAACCACGTTTGCAGCGTGATGTGTTTTCTTTCTCACATGCTTTTCCTGCCATTCATATTACACGTAAGTCTAACGCTGGCTGCATGCCACAGAGCCTTCAGCCCACAGCCAGATGAACTCGGAGCCTCGCCTGCGTTGTCTCCCGTGCACCAGCGATCTGATGGCCAGGCGTCTCTAGGGCTCCTGCTTCTTCTGCAAGGTTTGTTCTCTCCGGCAACCTGTTACCCAAGGGAACGCTGTGCTGTACCGGTCTCCCTGCAGGCCCGGGTGCCGATCAGTGTCACCGTTTGGCGGGCTGCAGCCTGGCTGCTCAGCTTTAGTTGCAGTTTGTTGCGGGACACGTGTAGCTACTGTGCCCCTCGCTCGGGCGCTCTCCCTCCCGGCACCGGTGCCCGCTGCAGAGGGAGAGGCTGCCTCGGTTTCCCCGCTGGCACGGGTAGTGCCGTCGTGCTGCAGCCCGGCTGGGGCAGGGTGCAGGCAGCAGCGAGTGCTCTGGCTGAGATCCCGCAGAAGGAAACGGTAATGGAACAGCCCCTGCTCACAAACTGGGGCTGAAAAGGGGTTTCCCTTCAGCCCATAGTGTCCGATGCGCAGCACCTGCGCCCTCTCTGCAGTTGGACTTTGCAGACGAGCGTTGCTGGTGGCGCGTTCACCTCTAAGAACTGGCGCCCTGCTCTGCAAATCCTCAAGCTGCAGGCGGCCAGGCGAGGGAAAGGAAGGGGCTGGTTTGTACGGAGCTTCACAATGTAGTTTCTGGTTGCCATCATTTTCAGCACATCTGACCAACTCCATTTCCTGCCTTGAATCAACT